AGGATCAACTTTCTTCTCCAAGTAGCTCCATCAATTTCTCACCTTTATTATAAGAGATCTCCATAAGTAATATGTGTAACGATGCATTAGTTGTATATTGTTGTGGGATGACATGTTAAGTTGAAGATGATGAGTTGTTTTACGTTATAATCACATGAGTATTATTGGTGATATGTTGAAGTTGTATGATGAATTTAATATTGTTATTATGTTGTTCATGTTGATATGGATGTTGTGTTTGTATGATGCTTTCATTTCACAAGCTTACCTTGTATTTTTCTTGTGGTAATAACTACTATGATCATAAATTGGTATGAAAGTAGGTCAATATTAATAGGATTTGAGGGATGCTTTGGTGAGTCATACTAGTTGTCGCTCATTTTGTTGAGGTTACTTAATAGTAGCTATAACGACCCATCCTAGTTGTCACACTAAAGGGAATCACCACCATTAGCAATGGAAACTAGGCTACTAGAACATTCAACATTAAATCAGAAAATGTGTCATTCGTGTATATAAACAACATATATATATACATATATATATATATATATATATTATACGCTCACACACATGTATACAGTACTCTCAAAATAATCTTGTATCCTAATATCAATCGAGCACGCTTATACAAGCTACACACAGTAGCCCTGCCATCACCAAAAGATCACACCACCTTCCAACCACAGCTCCTTAAGCCTATCCTTGATCTGTTCCTATATAACGTATGATCATTGTACTCCAAACCACAATGGAAATAGAAGGGTAAACTTGAGTTTGAAAACATGTAAGCATAGAAAACAATTTTATAACCTACAACATCATAGTAAAACATACATGTAAGCCAAACACTCCAAAGCAAACATGAATCTCATCTGCATCATGTCAAGTAAGACATCCATCCATGCATATGAACATGCCACAACATATATTATATGCAAATACCTCAACTAATACATCGTCACACATTCATCTATGAAGATCTCCTAACAACATGAGTAGTCTATGTGACTCCACCCTAGCAAATCAACCCAATTATGTTTGCACTTGAAGCTCCAACTCGATCACAACAAAATGGGATATCAATCCCTCATTTAGTTTCTTAGGTCTTATCACTTACACTAAGAAAGTCCAGTTCTACCATTAGAAATAGTACAACTAGGTGTAAACTTACCACGACCTTGACATGCATTACCAAGTCACATATAGAGTTTATTCAATGATTATCCTCAAGGAACCATATAATATTTCCAGGTACTTGGTTAAGGGTTGTATCCCTTGACCTCCTTCTTTACTCTACCACTAATTAAGGACTTAGAGAGGAGATGTCAATACACCTAAAACCCATTCCTAGAGACACACCTACTCTAGGAGGTTTTTCCATCAGTGGCCTATCCAAGCACCACTTCAAGATTCCCCTATGTGGGATCTTGAGTTTTCAAAAAATCATTTTTTCCTCTCCTCAAGTCCTAAGTTAGCCAACATGCCTTAATGTCATACCGCATTCCTAACATCCATACCTCATAATACATAAACAATATACATCACATCTAACCAATGCATATAAAAATTAACAACAACATCATTCATACATGACATATTAATGCTCTCCAAAATCATATGTCATACATATACTCATCATCCAACACCATACAAACATCTACATATGTCATATCCAATCAACATATGCAAAACAATCATCACACGCCATACAATCATCTATATATATGTCATATCCAATCAACATATATAAAACAATCCTCATACACCATGCAACATGCAATAGAATAACATAATCCGATCATGTTCATCATACCAATTCACCAAAAGACCAATATATCATCCAAGTATCCTATGCTCGACACAACACACCTCTCGCTTGGTGCCATCGAGGCAAGGAGCTTTCTACCTCACTCACGTCCAATGCCATCCAAACCATACTTGGCATGACTGAGGTGGAGATCCCTTGGAAACCTACATCAAGCATGGCAAAACCTAGGCTCAACCTCATATTAGGTAGAGAGTTTCTACTTGACTTGCACCTGACATCACCTCAACGGCCCTAGTGTCACCAAGTCTAAGACTTCCCCTATTCTCATGCCTGATGCCATTCCAATCGCGTCCAAACCATCCTAATTGAAAACGAGTCTCCCTCTTCATGTTCGACACTGTTAATCCTACACTCAACGTGATTAAGGCAAAGCTTCCTCATTGGATTTGCGCTTGTGCCCAACATCGTATCAAAAATCTGCGAATGCAAACTTCAAAAATCACCTCAACCCACCTGAAAAATAGGAAAACAAAGCATGCATAACATAATTCAACATTTTCCAAATGTTTACAACTCAAAACCAAGTCCAATTTCAACATGCAACCGTAAGATCAATAATTCACCAAATTCACACACATGCCCAACCCCTCAACTCAACATCTCTAGCCTCAAATCATGTAATTGCCCATCCAATTACAACAGCCATGAATAAATTTTTCCTAACACACACCAAGAATCCAACTACCTTCCCTTACCTCACTCCAAGCAACAAGATGAAGGACGAAGAAGATGAACCTTCGAGCAAAAATCCTTAGAAGAATCTAAGAGGAAGAATCTAAGAGGAAGAAAGAAATTAAAGAAAGAAATCAAGAAGTAGAGCTTATCTCACTAGATTTCTCTCTCTTGGTTTTGAATAATAGATAGGGTTTAATTTGCGTACAACTATCCAGGGATGTAGATTGTATATATATACAAGACACATATATATCCGTAAGTTTTTTTTAGCAGTTTATTTTCTACCCTATACATTATAATTTATATGATTGTCTATATATTTGTTGCATGATGACCCTAGGCAAGTTGTTGTCTATTCTGTATTATTAATGACCTTACAAGTCTCTATTTTGCACAAGAGTATTTTTTAGGAAATTTTTTTCAATGAGAGGATTTTTAGAGATTTTCTTAATTTCTTATCTAATTTAATTTTTATTTACATAATTATTTATGAATTAAATTTTAATATTTTTAAAATAAATTATTAATAAATAAAAATATTATGTTACGATATAAATTATTTATTATAAATGTGAAATATAATTTATATGTTTAAAATTATTTATTTAT